ATAAAAAGCTGCATTTTAAAAGGCTTTAGGAGGCTTGCTGACCTTGCAACCTAGTTTGTAAGGAGTCTGCACCCACAGCTATTAAACAAAATTAATTTCAGCACTTTTAAATTGTTAATCTTGCAAAAGACAACTTGCTTGCTCTCCAGTGATCCTACAGGTCATCATTCTTTGAGCTGCAAGCCATCACCAGGGTTCATGTCTCTGAACATCATCAGTCTGCTTGTGGTCTCCCAAATTCCTTGCAACATTAATTCCTCTGCCCTCCACTTTTCCTACCCAGCAGCTCTTTGAGATCTGGGTGCTTTGTGAACTCTGTATGTGTAGTAGCTATTCACCAGTAGCCATGCCACAGATTATTCTCATTTTAAGGCTATTCTATCCTAAATCAGTGCTTCCAAGCCTCAACTCACAGTAATGAACTTTGGGCAGCAGGACATGAATTCAGGTAGAAAATGACAGGTTTAGTCTTTGGAGTGTTAGGTTTTCTACTGAAAGGGCTACATCTCTTGTAAGTTAAGTTTCTCCATATCCGTGGGACAAATGTTTTTACCAGGTACTAATTTATTTTGTATCTTCTTAAGTGTGTTTTCTCTGCCTGGCCATGAAACTTGGAAATGTTGCCTTTTTCCTTCCAGGTAGTGGTATGTGTGAATGCACTGGGGGTGGGGGAGAAAGTGCGTGCTGTATCTGGTATTATCATGCCTGGTTGTCCCCGCTCCTTCCACCTCTTTTGTCTCTGCCACTCAAGCCAATTTCAGCCGTCCGCCGACTCTCATTTGGGATAATAGCCTCTCTTTTTACTGTTGTCTTGTCATGTTTGATTCGGCAGCACAAGGATTTTAAATTAGCCAAAACGTTTGCATGCTGGGCTTACTCCGCTGCCACTACCAGTTGTAGAGCCACTAAACCACTTGATGCTGAAATTGATGATTGCTCGGAAGGAATAAGAAATTGTTGGTGGCTACCGGGAAGATTCATTCACGCCGAGCCCCTTTTAAGAAACCTAGGGGGGAGGGAGAGAGAGATTTCCTTCATTTTCCTGCTGCCTGGCTGGTGGTTGCATTGTGCTTGTGCCAGGTTCCTGCTGAGTGATTACAGCCTTGCTAGGCTGCGTAGTTCCTGTGATTTCAACATAAAAACAGAAGAAGAAAAATACAGAGGGAAAGGAAGGGGGGGATAAAGCTCCAAAGACTTGCAGTTTGATTCAGTAACGTAGAATTTGTGATGTTTTAACTCGCTGCCCATATATATTTTTTTTTTTTTAAATCTGATTTATTCCCCCTAGCTAGAAGTTTACTTGTTAGAAGTTTTCCCCTGTAGAAGGCTCTGTATCTGCATACCTGAGTTGGTGATGCTAAACCACAGCTGTGTAGTTTTTAGTATTCTCTGGATTAAAAACGACCCATTATTAATGGGATCTGGGATCACCAAGAAACTACAAAACTTCTAATAATACCCTTCAAATCACCACCCCCCCACCTTTCCCCAATGCCTTTTACTTGTCTATATTAGTATTTAAAGGTATGGAGGACCAGAATTTATAAGGGAAAAGAAGATGACGGTGCTTGAGAAACTGTACAAAGAGAAAACAAATGAAGCCATAGAATTAAATGTGAATGACCAGGGTTGTATGAGGGATATAATTATATTTCAGAGCAATATACAATCACATACACAAAGTGAGAGAGGCATCTTTTATTTCTATCTTTATGAAGAGAGAGTATGTTTTGGGTTTTTTTGTTTGTTTGTTTTTTGTTTTTTTTTTTTTTTTTTAAATATTCTAGCACTAGCTTCTGGGTTACAGTTATGATAGGTAGTCAAATGGTCAGAAAAGGTCAGTAAGAAACTCATGTATAATGGCCCAGGATTTCTAAGTCCAAAGACAAACACTATGTAACAGAAAACAGTAGCAACTGTTATTTAAAAACAAAACAAACAAACCCAAACCCTCTATTAACTATATATGCAAGTTCCCAAACAGTTAGAAGCATGGCTTCAGTTATATCATTCATTATAGTGTGTCACAAGTAAGACCCTAAATATAACACATGTGGGAATATGATTGCATAGCACCCAAGACAAGAAAGATGTTCCCATTTGATCTAGTATTGCTAACATTATTATTGGTAGTATTCTAACACTTTTTTCCTGATTATTTAGCCATGTGGTCTCTTGTATAAGATGCCCTTTTTCTGGAAAAAGAAAAAAAATATCTTGTAAATCTGAAGGTGTTGGCATCCAACTGTATTTCTCTTTTGTTTGTAATAAATCATTAAAAAAATCATGTGAATGACTAAAGCCCTAAAAATACAAATCCAACTAAGAGGCCAAATCTCTGGGGCCCAGCAGTGGTGTGCTGTTGTACAAGTGTAGCTCTAAGGGCTTCTGTCTGTGCCAATTAACAGTAGATTGGAAAGCCAGGTGACCATGTTGGGCTTAGTCCTGTTATCTGTCTCTAACTGCTGCACTGTTCAGAATTGCTGATTTCTCTGCAAAATCATGACAGATGTATTACAGGAAAATGTATTGGTCGAGTAGCTAGTGAGAGAGTTAATGCAAGGGATAATAAGTAGCTAAGGCTATGTCCTCCAGCAGACTTTGATGTGGTTTGATAATATATGGGATGGGTCAATCTGCCCTATTAGCAAATGTAGCCAGTTTATGCTCTACATACAAACTAGAGATTTGATAAAGCACTAAATTAGTTTTCACAAGGTATTAGATGTTAGATACTTAATGGGATCATCATGCTTTTGCTACACTTGGTTAAGACGTGTTCTGTAACAGAAGCATGCGGCAGCATGACATTTCACCACGAAAGGAAGCGTGTCTTGTGACTGAATCACGAGTATGGGAATTATAATGTCCAGGCATCGTTTGGCTTCCAAATTACCATGTGTCTGATTTACCAGAGAGTTTCTCTTTTCACATCTGTAGAATGGGACCGTGTCCTTCCCTTTTCTCTTTGCTTCCTTGTGAAGCTTAGGCCATCAATGCTTGTAAAGTGCATTTTTTTTTTTTTTTTTTTTTTTTTTTTTATCCTTGGATGCAAAGGGTGCAAGTAATCATAATTCTGTGGAGCTTTGGTCACACAAGGCTAATGCTGTCCCACTCAGTAGGTGCTGGGAAATTCTCCAAACTTGACAGCAGAGAATTTACAGGTTCAAGCAAATTTGAATAAGAAACCTTAGTAGAGTGTGAAAGGAGAAGCTAGGGTTTTGATGTAATGTTCCACAACCGCGCTCTGCATTCACTCTGTGCCAGTGTCAAACTAGTATTTAAAAGGTGAAGTATAACCAATAGCTCAGTGAATCTAGTAACATTTTTGTACAGCCCAAAATCCACTGGTAAGATACGTCACATGGGGAACAACATTGTTGTCTTCACACACTTGCACCCCTTCTACTGATGGGGAAAGTGGGCGAAGAAGGCGACCTTCCTGGGGCCTCATGGCAAGTCGGTCTCTGAAACAGGTCCTTGGTTTGAGCATTCCCCTTATCTGAGCTGAGGTTTAGTGTACTAAAGAAGGCTGGTGCTTTGGTTAGCTGGTAACACTTTTATAAGCTTGTTTCTTCACTATTGAAGAAAGACCTATAAAATGACTTTTTTTTAGTTCTGTGGTTTTTGCCTTGTTAAATAAAAAGTCTAAAACTGCTGACAGCAGAGTATGCCCACAGCTACCTTCAGGAAACTATGCTTTAAAACCCATTAAGCATTTTGTATTTATCACATGATTCTAATTTTTGCTAATGTTATTTTTCCCTGTGTTCACAGATACTGTTCTTAATTACGTTTGAAATGCATCATTTGACTTTCTCTAACATCTTACTATTTCCGCAAGTAGCCAGTCCTGAATGACCATTGTCAGGCTTTGCACTTCTAGCGCTAGGGAGACATTCCTGCCTTTTTGTGAAATGCAGCAGGAATGTCATATATAAAATGATCCTGTCTGAAAGGATAGAAGCCGCATCCCAATATAGATCACAGTGGAAAATGACTCAAAATTACATGACAGCTTCTCCCCCGTTTACCCCCACCCCCTTCCCTTTCTCAGCCTGTTTCCCAGTCGGACTGCGGGAAGAAATGCGTCGTTTATTGTGACATTTTAGTTTACTGTTACTGATAATCCCTTTGCATCTTTCATTAGCATGTTATTTATAGGATCGCAAAAGGGCATCGGTACATCTCAGCCTCTGAGGTGGTGCTGCCGGTGTCCCAAGGACTGAAATGTTTTTTTAAAAGTGCTGGGTCGCACCTTGGCCTCGGCAGTGGGCTCACCTAGCTCCAACAGAAGCCTGTGCCACGCTTTGGGCTGAAATTCCCGCGTTTTAAAACACGCTGAGGCCCGTGCAGACTCCAGATGCTTGTATAAACAAGAAGACTTTGCCTCATAACTCCTCCTAAGCCTGCATCTGACGAGCCGCTCGGAGCTGGAGGGCTGCGTTTCTCCTAATAAATTCCTTTTTGTGAACCCACTTGTTAGTCAAGCGTTGTGCACACTAACTACAGCGAGGGCCCTGTGTCTTGGGCATAAATTACTCTCGCGTGGCACTGTCTCCGAGCAGCCCCCCAGTTATGGATTACTTTGTTCTCGACTTGACAGGAACATAATTAGAACTGTTGATGAAATCTACCAAATTGTTCCTCCGTGGCCTCAATGGTCAGGAAATTTGGCTGAGTCGTATTTGTCACCGACGTAAAGGCTCTAAACACTTCATATTAACTATGTTATTAATGTGCCCTCTAATCTGTCCGTGAATTGGTAACACTTGGAGTGAGCTTGTGCTCTAATAGTACCTTGTGATGAATACATTGTAATGCTGTTAAAAAGTTTCTGGAGGGTGGGGAAAAAAGCACACAAAGCACCTTAATAAAAAGTGAACATTTCTAGGTTGTTTCTTTTCTCTCTATGTGCATTTTCACGTTATACAGTTTTGTTTTGTTTAATTGGAGATTCATTTAGGCTTTACATTGACAGACCGTTTTCTGTTCTATAGGATTTGCTGACATTTGGGCTGTTTCATTGCCAGAGGAGGCTTTGTGTGTCCCAAAGGAAGTGAGTGATCTGGCCATAACAAATCCTGCCAAAATATTTTAACACCGTTACGATTTTCTAATGCAATGCGTAGTGAATGTGACTAGAAAAGGATGGTGAGTCCACGAAGGGGGTTCGCTCCCTCTCCTCTGCAATTTCTCTGGTGAAACGAGCACGCAGGAGCTGCCGGGGGTGGTGGGAGACCACAGCCAGCAGTGGGGGGGTGGTTTGCCTCCTAAGATGTGTCGCCTCAGATACAGCAGTGGCTCACACTTAATCTTTATACCAACCTTTCAAATTTCGGACCTGCTCTTGAACTTTCTGAGAGTCCAGGGTGATCAGGGACAGCGTTTTTAGTTATGTTAAATGAACATGTTTTGGCTGTTGTAAAGGTTCAGTAAGTTAAAACAAGGAAACGTGTTAGACACTTACAGATGAGAGATAGATTCATGGCCAAAGGTCCTAGAAGTTGGCAAGCTGCTGTCTGGGGTAAAACAAACTCTTACCTTCAAAACAGAGGCAATCTCATACTTCAGTATGATTTTGAAGAACACTACTGTGGCTCTTAACCATATAAGCAACTGTGCTTAGATAAAGTATTAGAACACAAAAATAAGAGTTTTCACATGTAGTGTTCAGGGAATGAAGATAATTCTGACAACCTAATGTTTAGCACAGAGCTGGAAGCATGGCAAAACAGTAATTTAGATCCCTGAACTATTCTCTAAGGCAGCAGGTAAATTAGCTGCTGTTTTTCTAATACGTTGGTGATTTGTTTTTATTAAATTTAATACCACTCACTCATGCTCACACCCACCCCATCGCCCCACCCCCCCAAAAAACCCCCACCAAACCATGCCTAAATTAGTATTTAGTAAACAATTTAAAATCTAAAACCAACAAGCAGTTCAAAGTGTGCTAACTACAGAATATCAGCCACCATCTCTTGTGCCCAATATACACCATGTTGGATTACTCTGGCAATTAGTTTCTGTAGTAAGGTAAACTCACATTTCTTTGGTCATTCTGTGATCACATACTTAGGAACAAAGTAGGTGACCACATGTACCAGCAAGTTTTGCTGAAGGGAGGAAAACTAATGAGAAATAGAAGAGTTGAACATGACCACAGCTTTGGAAGTTGTTCCACATGAGCTTCCACTTCTGTTGAACAATCCCAAGTTTCTGACTGGGTCGAGCTATTTGCCCCTGACCTGTGTTGTCAGGTGCTCAGATGGACATAAATAAACTCGGGCCTTTCAGTGTTGATGGTGTTTTCCACTTTCATGTTTCTCTATTTGTTAGGCTTTGAATACCAAGCAGAATTGCGACTTCTCTTGCCCATCTCCTAAGCCCTTGTTCATTTTTTGCTGGGCTTGCTTGAATTGCCTCTTCCCTGTGGCCACTGTGCATGTTATTTCCCGGGTCCCAGGGTCAAGGATGCTGTTACCAACAGGAGGGAAGTGTTAGCCTGGGAGTTAGGACTTACTTTGAGACTTCATTTTATGATGTTAATATTTGTAAATGAAATGGGAATCTAATTCTGCACCTTTCTCATGCAAATCAATCTATTTCTAGTAATGAGCAATTTAAGTTTTTGTTTTGTGTGTTTTTTTGTTTTTTGTTTTTTTTGTTTTTTTTTTTTTTTAAATATGTAGTTGCCATCTCGGGAAATCAGGATCAGAATTCAGGATGCTCAAATTAGGTGTTAGTGCATACAGATACTCTGTTGATGACTCTATTATTAGAATAAAGTAGACCAGTACTTTCCCTAGATCTGTTTCTTTTCACTGCTTTTGTCTCTTTTTTTCTCTTGCAGTTCATCTTGTCTAGGTTTTTCTTCTATTCTTTAATTTCATCCTTTAATTAATTTCTACTAAAGCCATGGGATCTTGAAGGGCTTTCCAAATAATTAGATCTTGTTACTTATTTGCAGTGTGTTCAAAGCTGAATTACATTTTCTTTTGTCATAATCTTGTTTTATCACTGTTCTAAAATAGGACATTATTTGGTGCATTCTTACCCAAAAGCATGTTTTCTGCTGTTCTGGCTGTACTTCATCTGTTTAATACACATGTGCTACCAAAAAAAAATTTCTTTAAATGAGTATTGTATTATCCTTGAATGTTACTAGTTTTCTGGGCTTGGTGTTTTGGAGATTTTTTTCAGTTTCTTATGAGAATGTCATGATATGTGTACTGTACATACAGATCTAACTCGTGTCATTCAGTAGACCAAAACGCATCATGAGCAGAGCTTAATCCTGATTTTGCTTTTTGTTTAAGAAGTAAAATTACTTCTCCTGCCTGAGTAAGTGGTTCAGTTTCTATAGGTGGGGGATGGGGAGTTAATATCACAATTGGGCCCTCGAATATTAATTTCGTAAAACTATATGATCTTACAGTGTCAGCTGTGAAGAGCATACGCTAGTAGATGCTTGTGTCTGAAATCAGGATTCATAGTTAATCATTCTAAGAAACAGACTTATCACTTCATAAACTCTAGGAAAGACTTTTCTTTTTCAAACATTTAAATTACTCAGCCATTTTATACATTAAAACCCAATTATAACTTACAGGGTATTTTGAAGAATTCTCAAAGCTATTTCTTTTAGGAACTGTACACAGACTGACACTTTAGCACTGCGTAGTTAAGTTTCTCAAGTGCATCTATTTTATTTTTGTTTCTAACAAAATAGGGTTTCAAGAATGTTCATTACCAGGCTAGCAAGTTCAAATCCCAAACAGACATACCAGTTTCAGAACAGGCAACATGTCCCCTAAAACTAGTGAACTGAAGTCCCAGTGTAGCTAATGAGCTCCAGAATATAGCTTAAAAACATTTTATTTCCTTGTTCTGAGATGGTAATGACCAGGTTAAATAAAGGTTTATTCTATCACCTCTCTCCTGTCACATTACACAGACTGCATGCAAAACCATTCAGAGAGAAATAAAAATCAGAATGTGCTGAAGGATTTTAGGGAATGAGATGTACCTATTACTGAATGGAAAAGCTTCTTCTAAGAACCACCTTCTTGGTTCTCAGGGCCAACTTAATTCTTGAGCTGGACTGGCATATGCCAGTGGCATTCTCCTGCTGAAAATTGCCTCTCCTCAAAATGCATAAATCCATACTGTTTCTCAGAGCATACAGCAAACATGATTTGATAGAGTCCAGTTATGAAGTTGTATGTTTCTTGACCTATATGAAATCACGACGTTTCCAAAAAAAATACACCATCCAAAGTTATAGTATAATCTTTCACATTATTTATTTGGATGCTGATTTATCAGCAGAAAGGTATATGTGAATCAGATCACACCAATCTAGGTCAGGAAATGACCAGTGTAATTATACATAATGCAGTAGCTCAGGGGAGGGTATTATAAGTCTGAAGACCTAAAAGATACACATGACACTAGTGCTGCTGTAAGACTACTCACCAAAGGCACCCTTTTCTTGAGCATAGCAATATATTCCCACAGCATTATTCACCTCTTGGAAATTAATAGGATGGTGTTTGGTAAACATTATATTCCCAAATCAAGGCTTAGCTACCCATGGATAGCAAGGAGTTGAAAAGGAGGTTCATAAGATGGAAAAATTCTAATTTAAAGGCCGAATAAGAGAGCGAATAGGCTTTCAAAATCAGAAACTTCTTTCTAAACACTACTGTGGGCCCAGGATCCCCATAGAGGAAAAAATAAAGCAGTTTGCTTTAACAAAAAGAAATAAAAGGGAGCTAGGCAATTGCTGACCCCTCTCTGCATCTTGCAGCAGAGCTGAGTTGAGATGAGAGCCTGATGCTTCTCTTCATGAAGAGACTGTGAATGAAAGGTCGCAAAGATACTAGGATTTACTAAGTAAAGTCATACTTGTCAATAGCTTCTCTTGCTAGATATTTAAAGTTCAAGTGCTTGTTTGCTTTAGTTAAGTGCTCTGAAGTGCTTTAAAAAGCACTGGCCCATTTATATAAACAAATAGAGAAACTCACTGGTAGTCTTTCCAGTCAGAGTGTGTTACCCCATATTTGGATATCCTTCATCGGATCTGAAAATGACTTGTGCTAGCAACTTCTCATACATCTGAGGTTTTGTTAATGGAGTACTGTGCTATATTATTATTTAATTGTAGACATTGTCTATGTTATAACACAGTCTCTCTGTTGTACACCACCATGAGAAAATAGAGAGGAGTCAGTAGCTCAGAAACCTATTTATCTAGAACTTGCGTGACTTGAAAGGAAGAATAAGCTGGAGACATGATTTCCTTTTGGGATATTTGCGGTAGAGAATTAATACTTACATCTCTCCCATATTTTTATTCCTCCTGCTCAGCTATGCTAACTCAGGAATCTCTTTTAGTGCTGAGAGTCAGGGAACCAAATTTAAACACATTCTTGAACCATGGGAAAATCCTGTTCGCACACATATGACCACTCACAGAATGAAAGGAAACTACCAACACCGATTGGTAGGGAAGGTGGTGACTGGGATGGCACTGACATGCTTCCACCCAGTGTTCCCTACCAGTCAGTGATGTAGTGCTTCCCTACCAGTTGTCCTCATGGTAACAGCTGCACCATCATGACATTTCTCTTCTGGAGTAACGTTCTTTAACCTTGTGATGCTGAAAGGCTGAGGATGTCATAAAATTGTATATTGAAAGTTGTCCTCTTTCATATGTATAAAGAAATAAGCATTATTTGGAGGAATCACTGGACACACCTCATCCAGTAAGGTCAAGGGAATTAGCTCCAGAAGAAAAAGTAAACTGAATACCATCAGCAACTACCCCACAAAACACAACATAGTGTGAACAACAGGGATGTAGAAAGGTGCTATCTTAAAACTAAAATGGCATCCTTCATAAAAAAAAAAAAAAAAAAAAAGTAGTTTGTCCTAATAATTTTCATCTGCATGTGTTTTTTTTTTTCACCTACCTCACGTACTGTCTGTGAGATTCAGGGTGTGTCATAAGGATGTGGATTTAGAGCTGTTGCTAATTTAAACTGCATTTAA